GACACCCTCTGTCCTTAGACCCTCACATCGTACAAGGAAAAACTTCCAGAGAAAACCCACAGTTTAAAGGGAAAAATGGGAGAAACCTCAGGGAGAGCAACAGAGGAGGGATCCCTCTCCCAGGACGGACAGACGTGCAATAGATGCCGTGTGTAAATTGAAAAGATAATACATTTGCAACATAGGTAGTCCAAATGTTTGGAAATGCATGTGTTTATAATAGGAAGATGAATCCACGAGTATATCCATCCAGGACTTATGATCCAGGACCACAGCCACGGCTCAAGATCCAGGACTCGCAATCCATGACACAGGACCGCAGGATCATGGATGATCCTGCGGTCCTGTGTCATGGATTGCGAGTCCTGGATCTTGAGCCGTGGCTGTGGTCCTGGATCATAAGTCCTGGATGGATATACTCGTGGATTCATNCATCAAGGATTTAATCCCACCATGTGAAAGTGTTAAACATCATGTCTTGGGAACAGCCGCGTGAGCGGAAATATACGGCGGGTCGTGCTGCAGCTAGCTGTGGCCTGTAGTCAACGGTGTCAGATGTGCACGCGAGAACGCTGTCAAGGGCCTCAACTTTAACACTGTATTCAAGTTCAGGGCTAGCTACCATTGACATGCAATTGCTACATGGGTGGTGTGGTATACTTTTCATCGCACCGGACACCGCATGTTCCACAACACAACAAACTGAACACACACTCATTTTTCGACTGTCTTCTCTTCCGCGCTACCAGCGTCTTGCCCACGCCGATCTTGTTTAAACACAAGTGCACGTTACTGATGGAATATGGTTTGAGACCATTCGGGGCTCTATTCTAGAGGGGTACAAGGAATAGTCCAAGTAGCTGGGGGAGTTTTATCAATTATGTTTAAAAATAAAAAGGTTTAAAAAAAAGTTATCGTTTAATGTTTTAAGGAGGATGACGCTACTCCAGCCAATCAAATCGGTGCAGAATCAGCCCACGATAGATTCAACCACACGGAGAGGCGCGGGACGACAGCAGGAGAGAAAAGTCTCGGAGTAAGTTCCAAATGCGCCGAAGGTAGACAGCGCGAAAAGCAGAGCATTTAATTACATTTTCTCCTTAGCTGACGCTCTTTTGAAATGCAATTAAATACGCCCTGGCATTATAGCAAGGGCAATAAGTAAATAATAGCATAGGGATTCAATAATAATACATCTAAGCCAATAATAATTGGGAGGGGGGAGGCGCGGGCTGTTCTTATGTTCTCTCCTGAGCGGGCTACCTACGCCAACATTTGAAAAACCCTTGCACTAAGAACATTAGATTTTGCAGGTCTTAGATGCGGGGCCTGTTCTGGTTACAACTAGACTCGAATTTTAGATGAACCAGCACACATAAGATTTGTAGCATTTCAAATTGTATTCTCATTTCACTTGTTTGTTTGTAGTTTGGTCGCTTGCATGCCCTGTATACGCATAAGAATACCTTAAGTATGGTCAAGACACTTTCCATCTATGATGAAGGCAAATGTCTTCGCCAGATGTAAAAAAGTAGAAAAACATTCAGCATTCAGTTTGTTACTGCACAAACAAACAATTATTTACACTAAATTATCAGGCCCTGTTAAAAATGTTTGTATGTTATTAATCCTCACGCTGTAAGCTTGGTCGACAGCGAATGCCATCCTCATCGGAAGCTGAGCCGAGCAGCACGAGCACCAAGGGTATCTGGCTAGAAACCGATTTCCGTCTTGGTAAAACTCTCGCGAGAGTTTCCGGTGAATGTCACGTGCTGAATCGTTAGCGTTTGGCAGGCAGGCCTTTCCAGTTATGATCGTTAACGATGCAGTTATACAATAGACAGCTAAACTAACTATTAATTATGTCATGACAGGGAGTGTGATTGTTGAAATAGGGTGTTATGGGCGTCTTTTTGGTGTTCAAAGAGAAGAATGGACGGACACTGTAGAGGGTCACCCACACTATGGTTTATTTTTTGTCGTCAGTAAATAGTCCCAAAGATAGCTCCTGGTGCTAATAAAATTTTCTCCTTCGGCAGTGTGTTTACTACTCTAGTCTGATGTTTCATCCCATTGAAATATTGCGCTGCACGTTAAATATTGTATGGTTGGGCATCATGTTACTGCTGTAGTGTGTTTCCGGCGATCCCACTCCGGATTACAAACGGAGAGTTATCCAACGAGAACGTGATGATCATAATTTAACTAGACGGAATCCTTTCTAGCCATAACGCGAGTAGCAGGGTTAATGGCTAGAAAGGATCCGTCTTGTGTAAAAACGCTCGCGAGAGTTTGCAAGTCACATGGCTGAATGTTTACTTTTGGCAGGCAGCCTTTCAGTTACGATCGTTAACATCAGTGGGCCACAGCAAATTATGGTGAGAAGCTAAACTAACTTAATGTAAATTACAGTGAGTGTGATTGTTGAAATAGGGTGTTAGCGGTCTTGCTGTTCAAAGAAGAATGACAACACTGTAGATCACCAACACTATGGTTTATTTTTTATTCACAGGCAAGTCAACGTTGTCGCAGTAAAAGCCCCAAGATAGCTCCTGGTGCAATAAATGTTCCCTTGCAGTGTTTTACTATTATGTCTGATGTTTCTCTATTAATATTGCTGCTGCATTCATGTGTATGTTGCATCATGTTACTGCTGTAGATGTGTTTCCGAGCCGCTCCGATTACAACGAGAGTTACAACGACAACGTGACGTCATATTTACAAAAGACGGATCCTTTCTAGCCATAACCGAGCAGCAGTCGAGAAGAGCTGAGCGCAACCGCGAAGCACACAACATGGCGACATCAGAGTTCCCGTTAGCCGGCAAATCTAAATCTCTTCGGTCAAAATGTCCGGTCAAAATAATTTCCCTTTAGCGCAATACCGCTTCAGTCGTGCCACTTATGTGACAGACAAGAAGAGTATGTGACAGACACGTGAAGTTCTAATGTCTAACACTTAATGTGGAGAAAGAGATGTCTTGTATGGGTTGATTGTGCGTTGATCTGTTGGTAATGCCTCAGGATTCCGGTGGGCATGTAAACAAATATGTTGTAACCTACTTGCTGTCATGTTGGACAGGTCTCCCTTGAAAAAGAGATGGATGATCTCAATGGGACCATCTGGTTGAATAAAGGTTTAAAAAAAAAATTAAAAAAAATATATTCAATATATCGTTACATCCCTAATTGATGGTGATGGGGGCGTGTCCCTCTCTCTGCTGCTTCCTGTAATCCACAATCAGCTCCTTGGTTTTGCTGACGTTGAGATGGAAGTTGTTACCCTGGCACCAAGATGTCAGGTTTTCTACCTCCTCTCTGTACACCGTCTCATTCCCTCTGTGATCTGGCCGATGGCGGTCGTGTTGTCAGCAAACTTCACGATGCTGTTGGAGCTGTGTGTGGCCACGCAGTCGTGAGTGAACAGGGAGTAGAGGAGAGGGCTGAGCACGCAGCCTTGAGTGGCTCCGGTGTTGAGGATCAGGGTGGAGGATGTGATGTTTCCCACCTGCACTGCCTGGGGTCTGCCCGTCAGGAAGTTCAGGATCTAGTCACAGAGGGCGATGTTGAGCCCTCGAGGTCTGTGAGCTTGATGACCAGCTTGGAGGGCACAATGGTGTTGAAGGCTGAACTGTAATCAATGAACAGCATTCTCACATATGTTCCTCTGGTCCAGGTGTGAGAGGGCAGTGTCGATGGTGAGGGCTATGGCGTCGTCTGTGGACCTGTTTGCTCTGTAGGCAAACTGCAGGGGGTTATCTGGATGTGTGCTGCACAGTGTAGTGTGTATCATTGTCATGAAAGGCAAACAGGTGTGTAGTCTTTAATATAAATCATGATCGCTGCAGATCACAACTTGCCGCTAGCTGCTTTCAAGCTGTGTGTAAACAACGTGTGTTTCACTTATAGGCCGCATGAAGGTATAAACAGGTCTTAAATCAACTTGGCATCAGATAAATAGCCATACACAGATGTTAAACTGACAACAAGAACACTAAAGAGTTAATGAGGTACTGTTTTGAACAGGCGTACACATCTACTTTCTCAGTCTTTTGTCCTTACTGTAACTTTCTTTAGTTAGGCTTCTCAATCACAGTGTCACACACGCACTGAATGTGCAGCAAAGTGTTCCTGTGGAGTTATTTAAACCAAAAGATGAGTGGGAACATGAGGCAAAACAATCAAAATGTTTATTTCCTGGTAAGTCAGCAATGGTTCCTCAAAGTCCACGCCTACCACTCTAACACATTCGAATATCATCAGTTAATCTTGCACACCGGAGCTTTTATAAATGCAATCATTAACTGTTCTAATTTCATAGAATCTTTACTTTTCTGACCAAAATCAGGTCAGAAACTTGGATGTCCTTTTACTTGGTGCCATGTTAAAATGAGGTTCACTATAACGTTGCATATACAACAGTGTCACTACTTCCTTCCTTTTTTTCTATCAAGTCGCCTTAAACAGACAGTTTTGACTTGTGATCTTTCCTTAATTTTTTTTGCTTACAGTTGTGATGACTTGTTTGGCTTCCGATGATGTGTTGATGCTATGCAAATCACGTTTAATCTAAATTAAATAATACACTTTTCACATACTTTCATCAAAGAAAATAGCCATTTAGAATAGTCAAACAAATCAAAACAAGAGTCAAAACTCAAATAAAATAATAAACAACTTAGACTTCTTTCTTTTACTTTGTGTAAGCTAATATACCTTTGCGGTTAAAAACTCAACGGCATCTTTTGCACAGGTTTCCCATCTCTGTGTCTCTTCAGAGGCTGGCGCCGATGGAATTGTAGTCTTTTATAGTGTCTTGACGACAGAGGTCACGAATAGGCGACATTTTGGCCTTCTTTTATAAAAACAAAAGACTGGCTCTAACAAGCAGTGTAGTTGTTCTTGATGTAAGACTGGGCCGTGTTTGTGCAACACAAGCTTAATGTGCTTTTTAGTTTCTGAATATTCATCAGATGCAAAATTAATTTGATCTATCTAATTGCCCTTTCTTTTAATAAAATCAGATCATCGCACCTTTAGCCAGATTCCATGATGTAGGATGCCAGACTGACGCTCCACAAACCATGTCAGTGGGCACGAGGGTTTTGATACTTCCAAAAAAGGTGACGGTCGGCACACAGCTGGCCTGGGGTACTCTGAAGCACAGGCACGTGAGAAGCAAAGGTATGTAACTTGGTTTTTGTGTTTGAGATGCAGTACCTGTAAAACAAGTTTGTTATACATGAGTCGTAAGTTGATATTCAGTGCACTTGAGATTTAAAAAAGGTCCAGCAGAAATAACATGAAGCAATGTTATAGCAGTGACATATTTGTGTATTTTTCCTTTCATTCACAGGCAGCCAGACAACAGAGTCCTCTCTCAGAGTTGGCAACGAAACGTTTTCCAGTCACCCAGGTTTCCATTTGCCCTCGACATCTATAGAGACACCAGGTTTGAGGCCAAGAAAGAGGCCTCGTCTTGAGTTGGAGTACGATATGGAGGAGGAAGGAGAGGAGGAGGAAGAGGATGTATGGGACCCTACCAGAGAGGTCAAAAGTGAGCCTAAGGAAGCAATGTACAGCCCTGTTGGCTCTGTCGTTACAGAGGGATCCGAAACGCCGTAAGTTTGAATATTTTAGTGAAATATTCCTAGGAGGTATTTGCACAGCAATATTGTAAATATTAAGCCAACGTCTTCATTTCTTCTGTTTGATGTTAGACCCACGTACAGCGACTGCAAGTACATCGTTTTTGAGAGTTGCCTCAAAGAGCTGTTCGACACCTGTCCTGTATGTAAGAGGAGCTGTGAAGTCCTGCGGCGACGGATGGGGACGTTCGTGGCATTCACCCAGCTCTGCCAGAACTGTACTTACTCCAGACGGTGGCAGAGCCAGCCTGTGGTCGGGAGCACCCCCGTTGGAAACCTCCAGATCTCAGCAGCCACATATTTCACCGGGTCATGCTTCTCCCAACTGGAAAAGGTATTGCTAATGCCACCTTTAGCATGTGAACATTTCAATCAAGGCACCTTTTTTTCCAACTTTTTGTCATGTTTTTCGTAGATATGCAAGGCCATGCATCTCCAGATTTTTCCATATGACACCTTCAGGAAGCATGCTAGGAGTTTCTTGCAGCCTGCTGTTGTCTACAAGTGGAAGGTGGATCAGCACAATCTCTTGCAGCAGCTACACCAGGGTGGAAAGGTCGCAGTTGGCGGAGATATGCAAACAACGGGTAAGCCAATACTCTAACCAAAAAGACCTGACAGGTCTGTTTAAAATAAAGCAAAAAACTTGTACATTAAATGGTGTTAAAAGTAGGGCTGTCAAGTTAACGCGTTAATAACATAAAAAAATTAACACCACTAATTATTTTAACGCAATTTAACGCATGTCTATTTTTTGTCCTCGGCCGCCCCGTAGTTTCAGAGCGCATCGAGTTTAAAATACCATCTACAAGCTGATGCTGACAGCCCCGCTCCTGCTGCCCGCTTGTGGCAGACCACACTTCCACGCTCACCGGCAGGCACCGGCTGGCTATTGGGAGGACCGGGAGGGTGTGTGTATGTGTGGCCCGAGCGAGCGAGAGGATCAACCGTTTATAATAAGACGCAACGATAACAAATTGGAATAAAGGGAAACTAAGTAACCTATGAAGGGGGCGCGCACGTACAAAATCGGCATTTCGAAGAGCAAAAAATATTTTGGCAGGTGGAGCCTCATGTTTTGGATAGTTGGTCAACGTATCCTAATTTTTTACAGTTGTGAGTGAGTGGGCAGAATTTGGTAAGGGTTTCTTCACGGAGACAGAGAGCAACACGACCTACTTCAGTGACCGCTTCAGTAACCCTCATTTGGGATATCAGGGTTTGTCCGCGTCTACGAAAAAGAAAAATGATCGAAAAGGCTCAAGCCCCGGCGTTTACGAGGCCCGGTAGAAACAACGAGTCGAGACACGACTCGAGACCTCTAACATAGCCTGACGCGGAGGGACGGGAGACGACCGCCACGCACGATGTAAAGGACAGTTTTGAGCACAGTCACATTATCTTACTTTCGTAGACACTAAACCCGCCTGTCAGACACTGCAGGGCCATAAACTTTAGTTTGGCTCGCCCCTAAAAATTATGGACCTCCATAAAATTGGGGCCCATTTAATGGCAGTATAATCGGAAGATGAACCCGATGTGCGTATTGTCACTTCCACACACACGTCAACAAGCCGCTTTACAGTGAGGAGACAAAGTAAATTTTATCGAGGATAGCAATCCGCGTTTCGATCGATGCGTGGTCTACGATTGTTGATGTTTTGGTTNAGAATCTAATATAGAGTTAAATGCAACAGTAAGGCTATTTTTATCATCGTCAACATGAATATTAAAGTCACCTACGATAATTACTTTATCTGTTTTAAGAACCAAAGTTGATAGAAACTCAGAGAATTCTGATAAGAATTCTGAATAAGGACCTGGTGCACGGTACACTGTAACAAATAAGATTGGCTGCAAAGTTTTCCAGGTCGGATGCGTAAGACTAATGTCCCGCCCATTAGGAATATCACATACAATGTGTTGGAGCATTAGCCTATAGAAATATAAGTATTACCTAGTGATGTCACTATTGTAACACTTAAACGTATTAACAAAACATTTATATAATTTTTAAAGACAAAACCAAAACTCTGTATATTATCTTAGTCCAACTTGAAAACCGATAAAGAACAAGTTAAAAACGATGGTACAATATGGCAAAAATATACAGTACAGTTTGCAAATTATTCCAGGTACTGTGTATATTGTATGATTGTATTACTAGGCTAATAAAAAGGATTGTTTTGATCCTTTAAAAATGATGGTATTACTCTCTGTATCTTTTGTAATCCATCTCTCAACTCATGCTTACTACACAAATCTCATATTTTTGGGGATTAACTGAACAACCTTATATTCTGTATTAAAATATAATCGAGCATTCACTATTGTCTGCAGTATGTTGAGTTCAAAACACCAAAATGGACCTTTGATTGACCACATTTTTCATTGTATTCATATTGAATATGGTGGTCAATGGTAATATTCAAGCACTAAAGGACCATTCATTTTTATTTTGCAAAACATGGTTGCATGTCGAAGTAGAGTTGTAGCGTACTCCATTTATGTCACACAAGAAAAACAAGACAACACATCATACGTTGCTAAGATCTGCAGCCTAGATTCAAATAAATGCTTGATGATTCATCTCGGACAGATATGGTGATACTACATTGGGTTATGTCTGGCAGCAGGGCAATAACTTGAGACGAGGTAATGCTAACCCTCTGTCATATCACTGCTCTACTGCTGTCTGACAGAGGCTATCCATTCCAGGCATTCAGCGTTCATAAGTCAGCGGAAGGATGAATAAAATATGAATTTATCCATTTTGCAGCAGTCTGTTCTCCTTTATCAGTTTTGTTAGCTTAGTGCTGGGGTTCTTAGCTTCACTCCAGTCATTTAGCAAGAAACAAATGCTATTATGCACTCAGATTTTTCTGGCAAAAAATGGAAGAAAAAATAGCATTTCCTGGGTTGAGGCAAATAATGTGTCTACCTTAGCTCAAGATAACAATGTAAGGAAAAAAACATTAGAGTACTTTGATGTTAAGACCTGCTGTTGGGCAGGTTTTTCTGTTTCAGCTCATACAAAACCATCTTTCTTGATGAGAGTTGATACAGTACGCATGCCGACTTAAAGGTCCCATGTCATGCTTTTCCGGTTATTACCCGTCCCCTTGTGTGTTATGTAGCTTTTTATGCATGTAAACGGTCTGCAGAGTCACAAACCCTCAAAGTACACCCTGTAGCGAGTAAAACTCTAACACAGAAAATACCTGTCTATGCTGACCCAGAACGCCTCGCTGGAGATTTTTATTATTCCATAGTTTTCTTCTTATAGTGTAGTAAGTACAGTGACGTATTGGGTATAGTGACGTAACTACCAATCACATGAATCTCCCGCCCCCGACATACAAAGCAATAGCAATGTTAAAACGAAGTAAACTGGATATAAACTCTCCAAACAGGCGAAAAACCTACCAGTTTCACCCACTGTCTCTGCCACCGCCCTTCATGCCTGGTTCCTCCGGTTTGTATCCCGGTAAATAGTTCTGGTCGTAAAGAACCGGGTGATTTGCTACCGTAATATCTCATTTGGAATATGAGGAAATGAACTGCGGTCTGGCTCTCCCAGCTTGCACGCGGTTTGATTGGCTAGCGCTTGCACTGGCGGGATTTGCATAAACGGGATTTGATTGGCTGATGCCAAGCATCGAGCCTCAAAAGTTGAACATTGCTCCACTTTTGATGATCAAAAGTGGAGCAATGTTCAACTTTTGAGGCTCGATGCTTGGCATCAGCCAATCAAATCCCGTTTATGCAAATCCCGCCAGTGCAAGCGCTAGCCAANGCTTTCTGTAAACTGTGGCGCTTTATGTTTTAACGACGAAAGGAGGGGATGAAACAGTAGACTAAAAAAGGCTCATTGCCATCATTTGTCTTTCTTGTATATCATCTATAATAAAGTATGGTTTGAATGTTTAACTAAAGAGGAGAATGTTTGACATATGTTAATTTAATGTTGGTTTGATAGCCATCATACTGTAGGAATAATGCAGGTGTGCACACACTGAACAAAGGGGAGTGTCATCTCTAGCAAATTATGTTAGTTTAGTTAAGTGTTTTTGTCTTTGTCTAGAGATTTTCCCCTTTATTTTTGAATAGTAACCTTCCCTCTCGTTTCAGATACTCTGACCTCCCTTCCTCGAGTGTCTCCCACTCCTGTGATTGTCGACCCCGCCCCTGATTGTTTCCACCTGTTCCCCATTACCTGGTGTATTTATAGTCATTGTCTCCCTTTGTCCTGTGCCAGTTCATTTGGTTTCTTGTGACAATCTACCAGCGTATCATGCCAGGAATAATCCCAAGCAGAGCTTTGAGCCACGTCTTGTCTATTTGGTTATTCATGTTCCTAGTGTTTTTCCTCATTGAAATGATTTTGTTTTGTTAGTGTTTTTCCTCATTAAGAGGGATTTTGTTTTGATACTGTTTTTCCTCGTTAAGAGTAATTTAGTTTTGTATACCACTGTAGTTGAGCTCTGGTTTTAATAAACCTTTTTTTGTTAAAACCTTTGTGAGTCGTGCATTTGAGTTCAAACCCGTTTATTCAGTCATAACAGGGAGTTACGCTAAAGATAAAGCACTTGTGTTTGAAAAGCCTCATGCAGGTTGGTTCATGCCAAGTTTGCCTCAATGATGTCACTATGATAGGGAGGTCACTACCATGAATGTTAGCTAACTACAATTTATAGTTGGAATTAACAATGAAATTATCTATTTCTACTCATTTTATGCCATAAAGTGATGCTGCTGTGTTTGGCTTGGCTATCCAATATAGAACTAATTCCATTTTGTTCATCTACTTGGCTGCTTGTCCAAATGATGGATTTGTTGGCTACGAAGTGATAATTCATCTTTGAATAGTGTGAATTACCCAAGGGGTAAATAGGCTCCTAACAATCAGAGGGTTGGGGGTCTGATCTTCAGCCCCTGCAGTAAACATGTCAAAGTGTCCTTGGGCAATATAATGAACCCTGAGCGTAATTGCTGACGTAAGCATGTCTACAGTTTTCAAGTGTATGTAAGATACTTTGGATAAAATCTTCAGCTAATATACATGTAGTGTAAAGATTGTTGTTGATGCAAAGATTCACATCTCACTCTGTTGCTCTGTTTTTTACAGGTAGCTTTTTCCAAAACAAATATTTTATTACACTGAAAATAAAAATAAATGTTCAAAGATCAACAAAAACCCTTACCCTAATGTTAACCCCTAACCCATAAAGGGCAACAACTGATTTGCAACTGGCTTTGTACCTTGGTGTACCTAATGGAAAATGAACAGCCGAATATAAACCACAAGGTTTCCACGCCCCAAAGGTTTGCCCTATGTGTTTTTTTGTTTAAGTATTGAGACCATAAATTCATCCGACATTTTTTTTACAGGTTTTTTACAAACTCACATTGGTTTCTCATACAGCATCTCTGTATGTATAGTATGTGTATGTAGAGTGGACAGTGTGAGCTGGCTTGCTGCGGGGGATCTGTGAGACAGCGAGACACAGCGAAACCCAGCCTGAACCCAGCCCGAGCACACACACACACCTGCAGCCTGGCTGTGAGTCTGCGTGTGTTCTCAGAACGAGACCAGGCTGAGCC